GCTTTTTCCAATTTGAGAAATTGATACAGTATGGTTTCTATATCTGTTCATAGATAAGTTTATTAATTTGAAGTAGGGTTTTAACAATAATTTAAGATGCAAGTTTGTAGAGGATATCAAACTTTTAGATAGTTTAGACTAGAGATATAGGGATAAAGCCTTTAAGTATAATATTTAAAGGAAAATTATTTGATCCTACTGCAATATTTCTAAAAGCTGCATAGTTTTGAATTGTATCGATAAGTTCATTGGTTTGGTTACTAAATAAGTCTAATGCTGAGTTGCAGAGTTATATAAAAATCTTAATTAAATATAGAAGTATAACTTACTATTAATATTAAAAAAAAAATTTAAATGTTTTACAATTGTTGTTTATTTTTTTTCTACTTTGGCTATTTTGTTAATAATCTTTATTAAGATTATTTTGTTATAAGTATACAAAATATTAAGCTTAATATTTAGATCTAATATTATACTGTTACTTCTAAGAGCATTTATAAATAATCAGCTACACTAAGCAGATATATTTATGAGATATATTATGATAAATCTATAGGCAATCTGAAGATCTACCTATTCTAAAAAATCCTGTTAGACTACACTCTACACTCTACAATAAGATACTACTAATCTGATTAACATCTTCTTATAACAAAGTGAAAAACAAAAAAATATTAATACTAATATTAATACTAAAAAAGAGAAAAGAGAAAAAATGAATAGTCACAATTATAAGCTTGTATCAAGCTATTAAAATTATATATTACAAGATAAAGAAGTTTTGTATCTAACTCTATCCTAATAATACAGTATATATATATCTAAAAAATAACAAAAAAATATATGTAAACTAAACTAAACTAAGCTAGACAAAGTAGTTAAAAAGCACTAATAGTTTTGAAGTATTGTTAAATAGTTTCTTCTAGTCGAAGCATATAATTCTTTTGCATTATTATCCAAATGTGCTTGGTTGCTTATTTTAGACAATTACTGGTTTTATATTTAAAATAAATAACCTGTTTTGAGTAAAGTTGAGCACAAGGCATACCTTTTGTTATACTTCTAGATATGCTCTTTTTCAAAAAATTTATATATGTAAAAAATTATTACGTAAAAAATTTTGGGACATACCTATAGGGTATGCTTCTAAATTAAAAAAAACCAGAGCTTGAAAATTTTTTTGTGCTTTCAACCCTAATTTTGAAAGATAAATAATATAAAAAATTACATATTAATCTTTTAGAGAAAGTAAGCTAAAACGTCTATGTTTTGATATAATTTTTTTGAAAAAAGCAATGGGCTAATAAAACTTTATAGATTTTTCCTTATAAGTTTTACAGTTATATAGAAACAATCTTCAATATTTTTAATATGCTTAGTATTGATCTAGTTATTCTGTATTTTCAGAATATTTTCCTGGTCTATATACTAAATATAATAGAAAAATCTATTGCAAAAAAGCTTGATCTCTATAAAAACTATACAAAGTAGTTTGCTTCTTGGTTTTATACTCTTGGTATTTCATTGACATCACATTTACTTGTATAGTATCAAGTATATTATTACTCTTTAATATCTTCTATAATGTTTTTTTATAGTTTAGGTTTCTAAAGTTGTTGACTAGAGGATTGTTAGAAAAGGTATATTCACAATTATTGTTTATTACAATTATAGCTAAATTTAATTGTAATATAATTTAATTGTAATTAATTATTTAATATTTCTAATTATTAGTATTTATTCTTTAATAGTTTATAAAAATATCAAATTACATATAGCTAAACAAACTAAACAATTTTAACAATTTTATCTAACAACCTTCTAAATTGGTTCTATAATAAAATATAGACTATACAAAATATTTTCAATATCAATAAAAACAAGCCCAAAATATTACTTCTAAAACTAAAAATATATTTTACTAAATATTGTTTCTTCTTTACCAAATACATTTCAAATAAATTATTTCTCTTCTATAGAAAAATAGTTTCTACAAGGCTTTTCTTTAACTAACTATATTTTTTAAATACTATAATATATATCTTAGATTTACTCTAATCTATTCTAACTAATTAGTTATTTAATAATTAATAAGTATTTTATAAAAAATTAGGATATAATATCATATTAAATGACTTTTTAGTAGCATAAATGTAGTTTTAAAATCTTTAAATATAATTTTTTTTTATTTTATTAAAAATTTCAAATATAATGTTTAAAAAAAAAAAAGTTATACTACAAAAAATTTTGTCTGAATCTCTATTTTTAACACCCTTTGAATATAAAATTTATATATAATTTCTTTTTAATAATTTTTTTATAAAGAGATTCAATTAAGTTTAATAAATTTAGAGGCATGGCCTCACCTTAAGATTCAAAATAAAATTTTTATTAAAAAGTACAGTATTTTAAATACTTGTACTATTTTTTTGAAGATAAAACTTAATTACCAAAATTTTTAAACAATATTTTAAATTATATCAATTTTTACAATCTGTTCAATCTTTTTATTATAGAAAATTATAAGTTTTATATTTTTAATATTAAAAATTTTTATTAATAAAATCTCTATATAGTTACAGAATTTTATTTTTAATATAGCTATAACTATATAGAATATACTTTATATCTCTTTATAATTACTTTTTTTGTATCCCAAAGATGTAATTATAAAGAGGTTTGACTATAAGTTTATAAAACTACAGTAATTTAAAAAAAACAAAAGTTTTTGCTAAGTTATTTTTGCTTAAAGTTCTAAAAAAATTTTATTAAAAAAAATTTGCTTGGTTTTTATTAACTTTATTTTTACTTAGTATACCGATTACCGATTATCAAACCCGTTTTGAGAAACAACATACCCGGTAAATTTCACCTTCAATAAGCGTAAAATCGTCCATTTTAATATATAATATATATTTCATTAATAATTATATAAATTAACTTAATTTAAATTCTAAGCTAAGCTAATAAATAAGTTGACTAAAATTAAAGTAAAATAAGCTAATTTAAGTTAATTTAACCTAATACAAAATTTTTGTTTATATATAAGAATCGGATTCTTTTTTTTTTTTTTTTTTTAGTATAATTAATAATTAAAATAAGGACTTGAGTTCAATTTAACCAATATTTCAACGCAGATCATCTACGTAAAAACATATATAACAACGCAACCGCAATTCGCAACTAAGCCTTGTACTGTTGAGTCCATTTGAAACTCTCTAAAGAACTTGAGATATATAATTATCTGACTCTCGACCAAATCGTACGGCTTGCCTTAATTACAGAAATCTTTGGATAATGTACGTACGCCTTCAACTTTACATGATATTGTAGAGATAGATTTGCAGTCTTGTGATTTTGAGTTATTTCGAGATACGTGTTACGTATATTATTATCGAAGCTTCAATGTTACGGTACCGCCGATTTTCTGACAGGTCCTGCGCTGCTAATTCACTTGATATCCACCAAAAATAACACCAACTTTGAGGTTAGCACATTTCTCACGCACTTTGTTTAGCCATAAAAATTTGTGTAATGCAACATAATTAGAAATTTTTATTGATCTATTAATAACTATATACATATATAATTATGTTTTAGGCTAATTTTATCATATATAGAAAATTATACACTTATAGGCATGTATTACAGAAAGCCAAGATATTATAGGGACACAAAAAATGCATGTACACTATCCAGTTCTGTTCAAACTCTACATATATAAACTTCAGAGTTCATATAATCCAATACACGTGACTATAGATTCTCATGTAACATTCGTGGAATATATAGATGTCCAATGAAGATCTTACCCGCATAGAGAACGCATGGAGATAAAAGACCGACCACATCACTTTACCGTATTACCGTATTAGTGTATATAGTAATAATCCGAGATATAAAAGGATCAAAAAACGTACCGGTGTATTTTTTTTTTTAATCTAGAAGTTGTGGCTTGTCAAACATTCAGATACTGAGCTTATCATCGTCGCTTGCTACATATCATTTCACGATCTTTAAGGGTGTGCTCAACTCTTACATCAAAATATGGTTGCAGCCATGGGTGTTATATTGAAAGACTTTGCTTCACAAACAGAAAAGGCGAAACAAACATATGAAGAGATAACAAAAAATATATATAGGGGTAAAGGTGTTGGGGATGTTGGACATGGTGAAGATTATAGGTGTAATTGTAAATTTAAGCCAGGTAGCGTATAAATCTTCTGGCTTAGCTCGTAGAGACTTGCCGATAATAAAAAATTTTTTTTTTTACCCGAAAATACGAATTTTAAAAATTTTCGCCTCCGGGAAAATATACATTTAATGAGATAACTTTATCAACTGAATAGGTAAGGATAACCCGAATAAGGCTTGCGGAGAATATACTGGTTGTGTGAATCGAGAGCTTTTTATCGAATGCGTCGACGGTGAATGTCCTTGTGGATCATATTGCCAAAACAGACGGTAAGAAATTTTATTGTAGCTTGTGACATTTGAAATATTATCTGCAATGAATTTGAAACCGTGTTATAGTTATTAGTTGTTGAATAAGATTGTTGCTTTTAAAGATATCCAATTGTAAAAAGAAGCGCTTTCTAAGATGCCAATAAAAGAGATTTGCTAATTGTGATCATAAGGGCTTGTCACAAAGCAATAATTTAAGTGTTTAATACGAGAATTCAATGATCCATATAATTTCATAAAAAATTATGGCCAACATAGAAATAGTGTTAATGACTTCGAATGTTGAATACTTTTGTCTTTTATCAAAATATACAGATTTCAAGATGCTAATTATGCCAAAGTAGATGTTATATTTCTTCCACTTAAGGGATATGGATTAAGAGTATTGGAACCGTTAAAAAAGTAGGTCGGACCCATAGTTAATTGTCTCGTATATTGATATATTTCATTTCTTAAACGAGTTTATTTTTATCAGGAATCAGTTTGTAATGGAATATATTGGAGAAGTTATCAAGAATGACGTATTTATAAAGCGTATGAAAAAGTATAATGAAGAAGGGTTAAAGCATTTTTATTTCATGTCACTTCAGGCTGGAGAGGTAAACTACCTGAGATATTTCTTAAATTTCAAAATAAGTTATTAATGGTTTTCTTACTGTTACGCAGGTCATTGATGCGACGGATAAAGGTTGCGTGGCTCGATTTATGAATCATTCATGTTCTCCGAATTGTTTTGTACAGAAATGGATGGTTGGAGAAAAATACCGAATTGGAATATTTGCTCTTCGTAATATTCAAGAAGGGGAGGAATTGACCTTTGATTATAATGCAGAACGATATGGGTATAGTCAAGATTATTTCTATTTTATTTTATTTTATTTTATAGTAATATATTATATTCAGATCTGAAGCTCAAGCTTGTCATTGCGGTGAATCAAATTGTCGTGGTATTATTGGAGGGACCAAAGAAACTGGCGATTCTATTTTATCACAAGATTTAATCGAAGCTGAACAATTGAAACCGATACAAAGTAATGATGACGTATTACCATTTATTGGGCTTATGCTTCGTTCAATTGAAAAACCAGCGATGATACCGGGGTTGTTATACAGGCTACGGGTAAATTCATTCACAATGTTAACTATCGTTCAATTATTAATTGATAAAGTATTAATATTAATTCCTCATTCTGTTTCTATAGATTACAAACGATATTGGTATCCTTAAAATGTTTATGAAGCTACATGGCTCTATAATGCTCAAAACATATTTACGTGAATATAAGGACAATGATGATATTATCGAAAAGGTTGGAACACTGCGTTCAATGATTAATATTTAATAATAATTAGAAACTAACTTTGAAGTCAACAACAATATAATATTTTTCTGAAGACTCTCACAATCGCAGATAAATTACCATATAAATATAGTAACCGTCGCGTTGAGACATCACACCTTAAAGAATGGGTAATGAAATTTACGAGCCGAGATGATAGAATTGGAGAATGTTGCAGAGCAGTATGCTTCTTTTTTTATTTATTTATTTATTTATTAATTTATTTGGATTTTCGCTAATATTTATTATTATTACCGTTTACAGCTTATAGAGAAATGGCAAAATCTTCCAGAATTCTACAAAATTCCAAAGTACAGTGAACGAGGTCTTCTACCTCCAGAGGCTCAGAAGAAAGAACCAGAAGATACAGCTATGGTAAAAATTCCGTTTCATAAATTTTTATCACTAATTCATCAGATGATTACATTTAGCTTTTCAAATTAAAATAAATAGGACATTGACACACCAAAAAATTCGGAAACCTCCGAACCTAAAGTAGAAAGTCAATTGACTTCCGACGATTACTATTTCTACGAGTCAGCGCACGACTATTATGTCCGGTTCACAGATAGTCATTTTCCATTTCAGAACCTTTCTCAAACGGATTATTGGGTCTCTCAAAAGCTCTCTCCTCATAAACAAGCTAACGCATCGTCATCCGAATATACCCATTGCTCATCGTCCTATTTAAATGACCACCACAACACTGAATCTGGTTCTTCGCGGTATAAATATGACAAGTATTCAAACAAACATTGGCATAACAAGTCATCGTATAGTTCTTCACATGGTTCGTCACAATCACCAGCAGTTCCTCCACAACCTGAATTACCACCCCTTGCACCAAATTGGTGTGAAACCACTGATGAATATGGTCATGTGTATTATTATAACAAGTATACTAAAGAGACATCATGGGAAAGACCGATCGTAAAAGATGATATGAAAACCATTGATGGCTTTAGTAAAGCTGAACTTCAAGGAATTATCGAACGTGCAGAGGCTTTAGCTAAAAAAGCAGAGAAAGAAAAAGAAAGGGCGGCTAGAGAACGAGCGGAAAGCAGTAAAATAGGTGCATCCTCGGTTCTAAATAACAATCTCAGCGAAAGAGACTTCAGAAATGCTGTAAGAATTTTTTCCTTTACTCGAATTATTTAATTTCTTTAGAAATATTAATTTTAAATATTTCGATGATAGATTGCAACTACCGTGGTAGATTATTGTAGTAGATTTAAACGTCACATGGATGTTCAAACATTCAAAAAGCAAGCCAGAACTGTGAGTGTATTATTATTAAAATTTCCAAATTCATCAATCGAGAGTTTATTAATATTTATTCTTTGACATGTGCGGTAGCTATCTCACCTTGTGCAAGATAAGGAACTTCGTCGTTCAGAATGGCGCAATGTGGTAACTTACCGCTTTACAGACGAGGCCAAAGCTCGAATCAAGAGTTTTGTCATTGACTATATGAGGAAATTGATTTCACGAATAAAATCATCTGCTGAAAAGCACAAAAAAAACAACATATAACGGGAAATTCTTTTGCATAAAATCTTATTTAGCTTGGAGTAAATTTTTAAACAAATTTAATATATTTAGTTATGTATGGTGCAGAAAGTCTAATCAATCAAATAATATAGAAAATTTTGCCGATCATTACTTATCAATTGAATTTGATTGGTTAAAATTTTTATAATTCGGATAATTTTTTTAATATATAATACTGCTGAAATTTTAAAAATGCTAAATTATTGTATCTTGATAAAAAAAATATAAAGGTTTTAAAAATTAAATACATAGCTTTTGTAAAGAGCTATCTAACGTGTTTTTTTTTTACGATTACTTAGATACAACTTTCGTTACGCAATATAAAAATTGAAGTATAAAATATTTGATTCAACTAGACTTTTCGCACCGTATTAAAATTATAAGGTTGCTCTTTTAACTGTATCGGGTGTGTGCGCATTATTTTACTTGCACAATTAAAATTTATTATGTACATACAAACATCAGCGCTGCATATTATATATTATATTTTGTACTTAGATTAAATGCATACGATATAAGTTATAATGAATTTGTAAAAAATTTCAACCATAGTTGTTTATAAAACAATACGGTCACTTAGTCAAGCAATTGAGTAATAATATGCGCATAAAAGTATAGTGCAAAAATTTAGATACTCCAAAACTAAAATTAACTGGTTATAATTTTATATATCAGATAAATTAGATTCTAAGCTATCTTTTAGTTATTTTATTATTTTTCATAAGTATTTTGTTGAGTAATAATTTTTTTTAAAAAAAAACAATTTTTTAGAAAAAAATTATTTTATACCAGTATACAATTTTATAAGCTCAAATTAAATCTGCATATTGCTACATATATTTATAGTTAATAGGTGGTTAAAATTTTAGTCTAATTAGATTATTAATTGTTAAGATATAAATTTTTAAAGTTAAATAACTAATTATTATATAGAAGTTATACAGTATAAAATTATTATATAATTTTTGTTTTTTTTTAAACTAACTTTTTTAAAGCTAGGATTTTTATTTAGTTTTTAAATATATATAGAAAACTTTAAGACTCTTTTATATTGTAAAGTACAACTTAGCTATATATTTTTTTTGATATTTAATTTAAATAAATTATTTATAACTTCTATATTACAGGTTTTATACTACTGTAGTTACTATATTTACAATTTAATTATAGAAATTGCCTATTTAAACTCTTTATATATACTACGATTTTAATTAGATTGCTAGTACAGTCAGACCTCTCTAAATGCAATGCAACGGGACCATATATAAAAATTTAGTCAAACGTGCACTTAGAGAGGT